TATATTGCCTCATAAGGATGTATTTATAGTAGTATATATTTTCGTGCCAATTTATTAAATACACATCTTTTGTTAAATAAAGTGAATATTGATTTAGTGGTATCTAGTTAATCCCCTTATTAATTCTGAGTCGTTATATGTCGTGTTTATGCTGTATTGGAAGTCCCTCTATCCTCAGTAAGTAAAGTTTTCTATACTTAATTCCCAAGCATTATTTGCCCAGATTCCCATGCCCTTTGAGTTTCATAATTATTGATTTCTGTCCTTCCTGGGAGATCAGTAGTGCAGGCACATTCTTGCATGCGCAGTTTAGGTTGCTGCAACGCGCAAGGTTGCTTGCCTTTCCGGATGCCTTGCAGCTGCCTCGCTTTGGTTATAGGGACTTGGGGAGGGGGGGTGTTAGTCGCCTCGACTTTGGTTCCATCTGCACCCCCTAGTCCTTCCCCTGCTGTGGTTCATCCTACTACCAGCTCCCAAAAGTCTGAGGGTTTCGGAGTCGGGGCAGGGTTTGCCTGGTGGCGAGTCTCGGGCGGTTTCGGGGACTGCCCCTTCCGGATCGGCGGCAGAGGCATTCGAGCCTGTTCCTCCTGCTGCATGGAGCCCTTGGGCCGTACCAGCGGGCCCCCCTTCATCCCGGTTTTTCCGGCGGACTCTGCTTTTTCTCCAGAGGTAGAGGGTTTGGAGAACTGCTCAGCCCCAGGTCCCAATGTGTAGGTTCCCGGGCCTGGGGAGGAGTTGACTTGGGGGGCTTGGGGCCCATTTGACCCCGCTTGAGTGTTGGTACCCTCAGCATGGGGCTTTTTGTTACAGGGGGAGGGGTTTTCCTATCCCGCCTCCCTGTACGAGTTTGATATGAGTGCGACTCCTCCCTGGGATCGGTTCGGGGTTCCCTTGGGGTCTTCGGTTCCCTCCTCCCAGAGGTTTTTGGCTTCCTGCATCATACCAAAGGTGGTGCAGGAGGCCCTTGTGGCTTACCTCTTACGAGACCAGGATTACGCCTCGGTAATGGATCCTCCTTCTTTAGAGTTTGGCTCCTTGTTTCCTTACTGGGTGCATTACGAAGTGCTGGAGTCTTCCTGGTTGGCAGACTGCCCTTTCTTTTTGTTGGAGTTGTGGCATTCATTCTGTCGGACCTGTGCGCTTGAATGGCGGGAATTGACTACAGCTGTTCAGGTTTACCTAGGGGCGAGTTTGAGCACCTCAATGCGTGCTTGTTTGCCCCCGTCCTTCCTCGTGATGTCGGCCAGGTGCAGCTTCACGTGTTCCCTCCCTTTCGGCGTAACTGGTGGCCGAGGATTTGCATGCCCATGGGCATTTGGCTTCGGTTTTGCGCTTTTTTCCCTGCTGGAGCTGTCTTCGGACTGGCTCGGGAAGGATGTGGAGGAGCTGGGATCCGGGCCGGTGTCCACTGTGGTGTTTGCTTCGGCAGCTTGGCCGTCGACTGCCTTGTTGAGGTTGTTTGCGCCAATTCTGAAGGAAGCAGTGTCTCTGTTCTTTGCTTCTCGCCTTGCGTGCCGACAGGCAGTGCTCGTCCACTCTTTGGAATCGACTTGGGCTCTGGCTCTTAGATTTTCATCCCCTTTTTGTCCATTGCTGTTAGCAGAGCCTGCGATGGTGCATTTTCTGCAAGTGGCTTCGTCTAGTTGCCGGCCTATGTCGGACTTGTTGGTTCTCCGGGGGGCAGAGGGGGGTCGTGGTGGTCCTGCCCAGAAGGGTCGTGCCAGGTCTTGGGGTTCCTTCGCTCATCGTAAGCCAGTAGAGTATTGCCAGATTCGGGACCAGCACCACCTGTGGAGCCATCAGCGTCTGGTGAGCTCAGTGATCGCTTTGAGTGTCGGTTGGACTCTCGTAGAGGTAGTCGGCCCTTTCGCTGGTCGCCCTGTTTGCTCTCGCCTGGTCCCACGATTCGTGGGCATTTCCTCCAGCCTGCAGTGGCATTGGATCGCTCGTCCTTTGGGAGAATCGGGTTTGGTAGGGCAGGCCTCTTCCCCTGCGCTCTGTCGGGTCATCTTGGAGTAGGTTCGCATGGGTTTGGTCGAAACGACAACGTCCCTCAGGTGGGTTTCTCGCCTGTTTTCAGTTCCGAAACAGGACTGGACTTGTCTCGTCTGAACCCGTGAGTTTATTGCCCCTCCTTTCAGATGACCATTCTCTCCCAAGTCCGGCTACTTTTGGCATCTGGTGCCTGGATGGTGCTCCTGAACCTTCGGGACGTTGTCGTTTGGCATGTCTCGAATCATCCGGGGTTCAGGGACTGGCTCAATTTTGTCATTAGACAACAAGCTTACTGCTTTTGTTGCCATACATTCGGTTTGAATCTGGCACCTCACGTGTTCACATGCCTTACCCGGGTCGTGGTGACCAGTTTGTGTCTGTTAGGGGTTCGGGTTCTGACTTACCTCGATGACTGGCTAATGTGAGCTCCCAGCCAGTCCGCGTGTCTGCTCGCTAGGGATTTGGTTCTTTTCCAGCTCTCCGGTTTTGGGTTCTTGGTGAACTGGAGGAAGTCCCATTTGGTTCCCTCTCAGGTTCGGGCTTGGCTGGGTCTTAAGGAACCACTAAACGGGTATGGTGAGCCAAAAAGCAACGAAGAGTGGCCGCCACACACCAGCCAGCCAGCCACTGGCCGACACTCCCTTCCTCCCTCCTCACTCGCCAACATTATCCTCCCACCATACTGTTTTTGCTTTTATTCACTATATACAGACATTATATACAGGTATCTACATACAGTATTTTGTTCACTATAACTGTACATCTAAGCTTGTATGGTGAGTTCAGGCAATAAGAGACGTAGCTACACACACACAGTCAGCTGGTGGTTGCCTCCTTCACTGGTTCAATGCCAGATGCACTAATATTTCTCCTCCAACAATACTGTTTGTGGTGTTATTACACTCTATGCACACATTATATATATAGGTATCTACATGTTTTATTCACCATAACTGTACAAATAAGCTGGTATAAAAATAAAATAAAATAAATGTTTATTCAGGTAAGGTACATACGTACAAGAGATTTTACAAAATTTGATAGATTTATAGATAGAGCTAGTACATACAATGCCTGGTGCCCAAAGACCATAGTGGCCATTAGTACACAACACATGTCATGCAGACAACACACCTCCCTCACCAAAATAGCGACTCCCAACATACTCCTATTGCTGTTATTACACTCTATACACACGTTGTATACAAGTATCTATATTTGTGTTCACCATAGCGAACCGCTAAGCTGGTATGGTAAGTGCAGTCAATAAAAGGTGGCCACACACAGTCAGAAGACATCACCTCCCTCCCTCCCTCCCTCAGCATTACTCCTCATACCATAGAGCAGTGCTAATTATCACCACACTCCTGCTATTATTAGAATCCTGGTTATTTTCATCACAGTCAGGGGTCTTCTGTAATACTATCATCGCTAAATAAAAGCATGTACATATATATAGCTTGACATTTTTAGGCGATGCTGTGGTCACAAGCTGAACAGCAGTGCTGCGCGCTAATGCTGCACGTGCCAGCCTTAGTGGCTCACTCAGAACTGAGGCTCCCACACCCGGATATGGTACCCACCATTTTTATCAAGATTGTTTGTTTACTATCGGCTTTGGCTGGATTATAGCTGCCCCCTAAACCTCGCGGGCATTTAAATAGTAATAAAGTGATAAACCGTCAATCGTATATGTATGTATTGTACAGTTTAAAGGTTAATGCACAGATTAGTTATGCATTTTGACAACATTCTTACCAAGTTTATTACACAACCTTATTCTCTGTTAACAATTACCAAATAGGGCCTCTACAGCTTTCCATAGCTTAGGGTTACATCAAGTCTAAATCTGGTCCTAGTTATATCCAAGGTGTTTTACAACTTATTTTGAATTGTCAAATCTCATTGGTGTTTGATTTGATTTGAAACTCAGCTCTGTGGTCTGATTGGCATTTCCTCGCAATGCTGACTTTTCCTTTCTTCTGGAACCCGTAAGGCTGTACATGAGGGTATCTAAACATGATACAGTACCTCGTTCTTCTATTGTGCCATTAGAAAAAATGTGGTTCATGGTAAAATTGTTGCACCTTGCAAATATTTGTGTTGCAACTACAGCTTTATGGTTACTGCACACCTTTGTGTGTTTTGATTCTGTTTTCTTAGTCTATGTTTGACTACATGGTATGTTTATATCTGCAATTCTCATATTAATTACCATATTTTCATCTTCATCTTGATTTTTCTGTGACACAAGTATTTGAATAATTTAACATTTTAGTGTTTACATTAATACAGTACATCTTTTGTGGACAAATAAATGTTCTGTAAATGGTCTTGTTAGAAAATTTCAATGGTAGTTTTTAAATCAGTATACGTAATGTCAGTTTTCAGTGTGTTCTGAGGGTTTCAAGTGTTAGTATCTATGTACAGTAGAGCACATGTTGAGTCTTCAACTATAAAGTTTTGTTCCCTATCTGTACTTGCTGTTACTGATCCTGATCTATTGATCCACCTGTGTAGTACTTGAAGATATTAGAAGCAGATCCGTTTCTATATTAACTCTTGCAATTATGCACAAGTTTTCCTTAAATAACCATAATCGTCACGTCTGCGTGCAACAATTCTCACAGTGCTTGCCTAATTAAATTGGCATGTATCTTATCGACATCATTATCAGTTTTTGCATTTATCATCTCAATGGAATTAATAGCTTTTATTGCATAATGTGTCCAACAAATTGTTATTGTTGACACTCCTGTCTTTAGTTAATGCTTCATAATATCATTTAGTGTACTATTTCTTAATCTAGTAAATATCTTGGTCAAGATGCACACGGCAAAATCTTTTAACCATATTTCAACCATCGGGTGTTAGGGGCTAGGCATAAGTTTAGGATCTCAGTCCATCTGTGTGCCCCCATTATGACTCACTGCATAGTTTAGTGATGGTGATAGTAGACCTTCATTACATTATTCAATTATTTTGTAAGGGCACACAAAAACACACACATTTATTCCTTTATAAATCTTATCAGTAGTTCTGATTCATTCACTTTCAAAAGATAAGACATGTACAAAACATTGTAAGGTTAAGCTGACTTCAGTAGACATCACACTAGTGTATCTTTGCCACAAGACATGCTGTACTGTACTGGGTATTTTGTGTAGGCCAAAAGACTGGAGTGAATGAATGCATAAATTATAACTTTACTTTAAATAATGGAAAATCAAACCATCTCTCTGCTAACTTAAACAATGGTAAAATTTGGCATCATAATTGTTCAATATAAATGCCATTAAAAAAGATAATCATGGTGACTATTAGGAACCTCATTATTAAAAAGAAGGAATACATAGGGTAAATAACACTGAAAAAAGTTGAAGTAATTGAAAAAAATATTTTCAGCGACATCTTTCTTCAAATTAGGAAGTTGTTCATCTGAAGAGATTATCCATTTCATCAATACAGTCACAACCACAACCAGTAGGACACTCGTTGTGGTCACGAAACCACTCCAACAAATGGTATGCATGACCACCATGACCGCACACAACGCAGAAATTGCTGGCTCCTGCAGGAAAAATACAACTATTGAGCTTCAGTTTAACTTGAATATAGAACAATAAAATTTAACACACAGTATGTAACAAATGAAAAAATGTTTTAACATTTTTCATTACTTATTATAAAGCTTGTAGTGTAATGTCAAATTGGTAAACTATTTGGTACCAGATCCACTTCAGTGCAACTGGAGATGCCTTCAGGAGACATTTATGTGGCAATCTTTTTTTATAAATAAAGCACAAAAATAATAAACCATTATTAACGAATATGAACTACCACTCCACTGTGTGATTCCTAATGAAACCTTGATGATGAGCAGATGTCTGGATTCCTGCTCCAATAGGGGGCCGCCGGAATACATGGGCCGATTTTACTCCTTGGGTCTTGATACTACTGTCAGGAAGTCCTATTCAACTGGGGACTGTCTCAAGGTGTTTGTCTAATGTGAATGACAAGTGTAGAGTTTTTGTTGATCTACAAGCAGCATTTGATAAAGCCAATGGGGAAGTAATCTTGTATGAATTAGCCAATCTGGGAATAACAGGAAGATTACTACATTGGATAAAAGATTATCTACAAGGGAGAAAAGGTCAGGTGTATTACCAAGGATACATATCTCAGGAAAGCAGATTTCAGTTAGGTATCCCCCAAGGGAAAGTGTTAAGTTCCTCCTTATTCAATATATTAATGAACAGATCAGCATCAGAGATGTATCCTCCAAGGGTCACAATCATATATGTTGATGACCTTCTTATACAAGGCACTGCTGGTAACAGAATTTAAACCGCTCTTAATATACTTGGTACAGCCTGTTACAAGTTAGGTTTAGTTTTAAATATAGCAAAATCAAATACAGTGGTACCTCAGCTTACGAATTAATCCGTTCCCAGAGATGGCTTGTAAGCCGAATATTCGTAAACTTAAGCGAATTTCCCCATAAGAAATAATGGAAATTGAATTAATCCGTTCCAGTCTCCCCAAAAAATTAACTTCAAAGTAAATTTTATATATAATTCACCCAAATCTTCAGTACTAAAATATGTACATGTTATTACTTACCTTTACTAATGACTCTTGTTGGCATATGGAAGACAGTGTGGAGGGGGAAGGAGGAGAGGTGCTAGTGTTTGGAAGGGAAGTCCCCTTCCATTATAACATCAGGCAGTGATGACTTCTCTGGGGTACATTCTATGGCACGTTTTGCCTGAATACCACTATTACCTGCTTGTGGTTCACTGCTTGCTTGTCTTACTAAGAATCTGTCTAAAGCCACTTTTTTTCTCTACATTTTAACACTTGTCTGTAGTAAGACATCACATTATCATTTAAAAGGTCAATGCAACGGCCTGCTACAGCTTTATCTGGGCGAGTTTTTTAAACAAAACTTTGCAGTTCTTCCCATACTTCACACATCTTCTTAATGAGGATGGGACATCCTCTACCTGCTTCTACTCAACTATTTTCTTAGGTTGAACCTTACCACTGACTTTCTTGGAACTCAAGGCAAGATTTATAATAATTTTTATGTTCAAATACCTAAAAATCCAAAAAACACTGAAATTCTTTACAAAGAATTCAGACACGATTGTCACTAGGTGATAGCCACTGGTAAACTGAGGCATGATCGCCATGCTACTATGCGCTAGGCCGGCCATACGCATATCAACAAACTGGCCTGCCTACCCCTATCACTTTGTAGAAAAAAGAATTTATTTCTTCTTCATTCCTGCTCTCATTTAAATGTTTTGCCTCGGCGAGGTTCAGTTTCAGCTTCTCTCTATCTTCTTTTGAAAGATCTCGTCTTAACGACCACCCTTTCCCATCCTCATTACTTTGTAATTTTCTAGCATTCCTTAGTACTTCTTCCATCTGTTTGGCACCGTTTAGGGTGATCCTCAAAGGTCGATCTTTCCCTTTTACGTACCTGCCTATTCTCCTGTAGTCGCACACATTCTCTCTGTTTGTAAGACCTTCCACGAGGCCAACAATTTTATCTACTACTTTAGCTTCTTCTACAGCTCTTTCTGACCTAGATGTTATCGCCTTTTCTTTGCAGCCAAAAATGATCAGGGACTTACTCCGATGAACTGTGTTTTGCACCAACTTCGGGTTAGATGCCAATTCTTTTCTCACTTCCAGCCTAATGTTTGTTTTATCTTGGTTGCTGCAGTGTTTGACTTCCTTTACTGCTTCTTCTATTTTTTCCTTCTCCTTGGCCACTTGTGCATAAGTGAGTTGCATATCTTTCTTGCATTGTTCTATTCCCTGTGTAACTTCCTCCATCTGTGCTGACAAAAGCTGTTTCTCCTGTTGAATTTCCTTGCTTAACCTATTGTAGTCATTTATGTTTAAATTTACTTTAACTTCTTCCAAAGCTATTTTTAAGAGTTTATTTTCTTCTTCCATGGCTTTGCAATTTGTTTCCAATTGATTCTTATCCTTGCGCAAGTCTTTCACTAAACCCTCAAGACATAAAACTTTGCTATTCAAATGGTCATTACTTTCTTTCAATTTACTAATTATTTCTACATGAGAGTTCACTATAGTATCTAAATTTACCAACTTGTTATGTAGACTACTAATATCAATGCTTTCTTCATTGAATCCCTCAAAATCAAGCTCTGTTTTGTTTTTCCCCTTGCCAGTGGCCATCTTGAATGTTCTTCTCTGCACTGTAAACACTAGGGCAACTTTTTCTCATCCGATTCTTCACTTCCCTTAGCACTTTCCTGTTATCTCACCTATTTTTCAAGAGCACTATACCTTTATGTTCTCTGGGACACCACTCACTACCATCAACCTGTACTACAATACTTAGGATTGTTGAAATATGCTGGAGCTCCTCTGCTGCAAGTGTTGACCCTAGGGGTGTCACCTTTTGAATCCCTTTTTTGAATCAATTTTGAATCAATCTTTTTTGAATGAAAAAAAATTTTGAATTTGTGTGTGTGTGTGTGTGTGTGAGTGAAAGTGTCCAATGGTCAGATAGCGTGTGGAAGTGTCCAATGGTCAGATAGCGTGTGGAAGTGCCCAATGGTCAGATAGCGTGTGGAAGTGTCCAATGGTCAGATAGCGTGTGGAAGTGTCCAATGGTCAGATAGCGTGTGGAAGTGTCCAATGGTCAGATAGCGTGTGTGGAAGTGTCTTGGAGTCTGATAGTGTGTAAATACCTAAGTGTAGTGACAGGATGAGAGCTACTCTCATGGTGTTCCATCTTCCCAGTACTCTTTGTCACATAAAGGTATGAAACTACTGGTGGTTTTGGCTTCCTGGATGGATGCAGACAATTTTTTTTTAAGATGGCATCTGTTTATTAGAGTCCTCAGGAAAAGGATGTTAGCCCTATGTATCTGCGAGAGTTTTGAATCTTAAGATATATAGTACTAACAAAAATGATGTGCTAGTTGGTGCACACGCTTTCTCCATGACATCACTGTGTGCAGTACAGTGGTTAAGCACTAAGCAGCTAATGAGATGTCAGCCCTAACAACACTATGTTACTGTTAGCTAATAAAACTCGAATGAAAGAGCATACCTTTTACAGCAACATGGCATATTGCACAGCTGAAGGAAAAACGTCGACAGTAGAGACACTGCGGTCCTTTGGCAGACTGACCACAATGAACACAGTCAGTCTGGAACTCCACTCCTTTATGAGCTGGTGGCTGGACTTGCAGATACTTCAAGATCTGTAAATATTTATTTGTATTGGTTATTGAAGTGAATTATGATGAGACATTTATCAAAATAAACCATAAACTATGTAATGAAGAGAAGAACCTCCTCAAATTTACTAAAATTTGCTAAAGTGAAAAAGGACATACAGTGGGGCCTCGATTTACGATGGTAATCCGTTCCCAGAGACGAATCGTAAGTCGAAATATCGTAAGTCGAAACGATTTTTCCCATAAGAAATAAAGGGAATTGAATTAATCCGTTCCACACCCTCAAAAATATTAACTTAAAAATACATTTTATACTGAATACAATTTTTTTCTCTAACTCCAATACAGTACATATGTTTATCTTACCTTTATGGAAGACTCTTGATGGCGTATGGAAGATGGTGAGGAGGGGGAAGGAGGAGAGGTGTTACTGTTAGGAAGTGGAGTCACCTTCCATTATAACATCAGGCAGTAAGGACTTCTCTGGGGTACACATATTGGCACGTTTTGCCTGCATACCACTAGGACCTGCTTCTGGCTCAATGCTTGATTTTCTCACTAGAAATAGTTCCGTTGAAGATTGTTTTTCCGTTCTTTCCAACATTTGTCTGTAGTGAGGCATCACATTGTCATTAAAAATATCAATGTAATGGGCTGTTACAGCTTTATCTGGGTGATTCTTTTTAGCAAAGCTTTGCAGTCCTTCCCATATTGCACACATTTTCTTAATTAATGAGAAAGTGACATTCTCTAATGCCGCCCCGCTGCCTCCTCTGAAGATTTATTGTACTGCCTAGCTAGTTCAACAACACTAGTACCATTTTCATGTTTACATATGATCTCTTGCTTTTCCTCTATGGTAATTCTTACCTGTGTTTTCATATGTTGAACCTTACCACTGACTTTCTTGGGACCCATGGCATGATATATAATAATCAGTTTTATGTTCAAAAAAGCAAAAAAATCACCACAAAAACGGAATTTCTTATAGGGGTGATCGTCACTAAGTGGGCAGCTCTAGTAAATTGGGGCAGGTCGGCCTGCGTGACTGGGAACAACGCGCTTGGTCGACCCAAACGTGTACCAACAAATATCGTTAGTCGACGACACTATTGTAAGTCGAGTCGCATTTTTCGATCAAATTTACATCTTAACTCGAAATTATTGTAAGTCGGGGCAATCGTAAATCGAGGTGCCACTGTGCATCATTTTGATAGATTGAAGATGTTTCAATTTCCTGAAAGTGCAATATGGTACACCGAAATATAGAATATGAGAAGATATACAAAGTAGGCAAAGGGTACAAATGAAGAATGTTTACCATCGCTCGCTGCTGAAGTAGACCCCAACGGTAAAGAATGTCTGCATATGCTCGCTTCATCTCGTCAAACTGCTGACTTCTATTGCAGTCCAAAAATCTTTATGAAAAATAAATGTTTTATTTAAACTGACACCATATTTGACAACTCGATATTAGTTTTCTAATAAACAATCTTATAACCTAAGATATTAAGATATTAAAAAAGTACAGTATAACAAGAAAGCACTCTTAGAGTGCTTTCTGAGAGTCAATCAATTGATTATCTATCTCAAGTTTGTCACATGGAATTTTGAAAAAATGTAAACGTTATAATGTAATAATAAAGAGTTTTGAGTGTAATGAAATGCCCCCCTGTGTGGCTTCTGCCTCAGTAGCTGCCCTAGCTTACACACTGTCTGCTCTTGCCTACCACACAATCGCAAACTCCCGAACCGTGCTGTGAGCCCAAAGGAAGGACGGAGCCCAATACCCCTGACCAGCCTGGTGAGCGCTGGTCACAAAACCCCAGGCAAGAGACGAGGCGTCCATGAAAAGGGTGAAAAAGGGTGAAAAATTCACCCAAGAAGCTCGCTCGCACATCCAGGCGCATGTAAACAAACCGCAACGCCGCCCTGGTGGCCACGCCGGGAAACCAGCAGAAGAAAATGGCCACCAGAACAGAGGGCTATGACCGACACAAAAGATACGAAAACACGCCAGCAAAAGTGGGAAGCAAGCAGACTGGATGGGCGAAAAACTCCGCCCAAAAGCAGAAAACCCAGACAGGGGCAAATCGCCCCAGAACTGCTAGCAGGCATCCCCCACAGCCCCGGGAACCAGCAACAGAGGCCCCGGGGCAGAGCCATCCTCCAAGCCCTCCGCCCTTAAAGAAAAGGAAGAGTCCATGGGAAAGGCAGCAAGAAAGGGCCGCTGGTAAGACCCACAAGCCTCGGCAGGAGGAAAAAGCTCGAAAACCTCCGTCCCCAACCCGAACGGGACAGCCCCTGAAAACCGCCTGAGACTTGGCCCCAACTAAACCCCGACCCGACTCCGAAACCCGCAGACGGTCAGGAGCCGAGAACAGGGTGGGAAAGAGGCGAACAGCACCTAACCAAAACGGGGTGGCCTCGGGACATCCGATTGGGAAACCAACCTAGCGTGTTGCAGCAACCTAACCTAGCTTGCAACACGAATGCCGCCTGTACTCTGAACAGTAATAACATCAGGAGAGTACTGGAGAACAAGTAGAGAATATCTCTCGCAAGACTCCGGGTCAAGGTGTCAGTGACCCAACAGGCAACATGACGAAGGTAAAAGTGGCGACTGTCACCCGGAGACAAGGGCACAGCAACCAACGATCCCGTACAAGACAGGTTGGAACCCGGAAGACACATTCAATGGTCTACCAAGCCCAGACAGGGGTTTCCAGGGCCCATAGGCTAACTGCTACGGGAAGTCCGGGCAAGGTGTTGCTAACCGGTTAAGAAACCCAAAAATAACAAAGAGGGTAGAGGATAGCACTGACAACCTCTGCGACGTGTACAATCAAGGGGGCCTTGCAGAGGGTCACCAAACACTACCAGTGGAACTATAGCCACACTGGGCAGACCCCCACCAGGCAACTGAAAATAAAAACAAAAGAAAAACCCCGCAAGAGTACACCGTTTCCAGAGGCAATAGGAACCAGTCGCCGCTTAGGTGGCAGGTCGCGCAACACCTTGACGCCCTAACCAGCACAATACCAATCCTTACCCAGGGCCAAATAAGGGCCCAAAGCTCCAGCTGGCCCCAAAGGTGAGGCAATTGCCGAGCAGCAAGAACCTCTACGGGAATGGTTCCTGAACGCCCCAGGGAAGATAACCCTGTCACGCAGGGGCAGTACTCACAGGGCGCTTAGGGAAAGAAGCCCCTAAGCGTATGCAGCCCCGGCGCTGATGAGGTACTCCTGGCCACCGCACAACACAACACACGGCAGTGAATGCCACACAAGGCAAACACCGCCTAGGAAACTGAGGCCAGAGAAGCGTCTATCCCGTTGACATTAGCTTACGAACTGATGCTAGGCAGCTGGAACGGTAGATCCGGGGCTCCACCCTCCCCCTCTTGGGGCGGGGAAGGCTGCGTGGACGACCGGCGCGGCAGTAAAGAGTGATGTTCGCTTCTTTGCTTGTTTCCTTGGAATTGTAGGGAGTTTCTACCTCTGTTCGGTTTTTTGTTTTAGTTTTTTACCATGTGGGGTTTGTTTTGTTATGCCTACCTTTCTGGGTGCCTGACCTGGGTAGATGGCAGATAAGGAAAACCCCAACCACAAGGGGGTTTTCCAGGGCCATTGCTCCCTGAAATCTCTCTGAATGGGTCAGGTTCTGGCACTGGTCCCTGATAGGTCTGAACTCCTTAGCTAATGTCCCGGTCTAATATAACATACATTAGCCCGATAAGCTCCAGGCAGCCGTAGGGGCTCCCCACAGAAAGAGAGGCAATATCATCACTACATACAAAATAGTAATACTGTAGTAAAATTGATAGGGAAGAATTGCTGAGACCCGGAACTTCAAGGACAAGAGGTCATAGATTTAAACAAACGAAACAAAGCTGCCGGAGAAATATAAGAAAATTTATTTTTGTAAACAGAGTGGTAGACGGTTGGAACAAGTTAAGTGAGAAGGTGGTGGAGGCCAAAACCGTCAGTACAGTACAACCTTGATTCAACGTACCCCGATTCAACAAATCTCCGGCTAGTTTGCACACTTTTCAGGACGGATTTACTCACCTGGTTCGATAAACAATGGTTCCCCAAAACAGGGGATGTTTAGATATGTTTACAATCTCGAGACAGAGTTCACAGACTGGTGGAAAACTTTCCAATTCTATCACAGATTACAATTAATAATTCCCTCATATGACAAGTTAGATTATACAAGTGGATCACACAAGTGGATCACGCAAGTGGACCACACAAGTAAATCACACAAGTGGACCGCACAAGTGGTCCACAAGTGGTTCACAAGTGGCCCATAAGCTTACGATGTTGGGACAGAGTTCACAGAGTGGTAGAAAACTTTCTCATTCTATCACAGATTACAATTAATAATTCCTTCATAAGACAAGTTGGATCACACAAATGGACCACACAACAAGTGAACCATATGAACCAAACATCAGCCAGAATGGTCCACACAACAAGTGAAGCATATTAACCAAACACCAGCCAGAATGGTCCACACAAGTGAACTGAGTTTCCATGATTTTTGTTCACTGATTTGTGGCACACGTATCTTGAGGATATCTTGAGGTTATCTTGAGATGATTTCAGGGCTTTTTTAGTGTCCCCGCGGCCCGGTCCTCGACCAGGCCTCCAACTCCAGGAAGCAGCCCATGACAGCTAATTAACACCCAGGTACCTATTTTACTGCTAGGTAACAGGGGCATAGGGTGAAAGAAACTCTGCCCATTGCTTCTCGCTGGCGCCCGGGATCGAACCCGGGACCACAGGATCACAAGTCCAGCGTGCTGTCCACTCGGCCGACCGGATCCACCGGATTTTTGTAAATTAATTTAAAGGCTGAAGCGTGATTAGCTAGCTACATGTGGTAAAATCTCCTTATAGACATTTTCTGTGATGAAACAAGATGAGTGAGGGTGAACAGATAAGGGAATACTGTACTGTAAACCTCACTTGGTTTCCTTCGTGTGTGTTGTCATAGTTCAGTGACCCATGACTTTGAAAGTTTCAGATTAATAAATCATTTCTAAAAACCAGTGTTTTAATAGCTCTTTATTATCCTAATTATCCTAAATAAAGTATACATAAGTGCCACAGCTCCCTGTGCCTCTGAAAGGGGACCAATAAAGGAAGGAAGGCTTTGGATCCTCAGTGAACCAGATAACTCCACGGCTGATGGTAACTAGTAGTTGGCACAACAGCAGAGATGGTAGCTTCACGGAGCCACAAGGGGCTCCCTCAGAAAAGTAGAAATGAGAAATCTTCCAAAAGCCTTTCAAAGTATGCACTATTCAATTCAACTACTACACCAAACTAGGCCTATAGGGTATATTATGAAGGGAAAGTTCAGGTGTCCCTGTAGCGTCTTGAGCTCACAACAGGAAAGCTAGCATCTGCACATTAGCAAGCAGATATTGGTGCCTAGAAGCAACATAGACTGTAGCAGGATAGAGGTCATTCTTATATCCTAACAATCTGAACCACTGGCAAGGCAGGAGGGGGGCCTGGCTGTAACAGGGATTTCTCAAAGTGAAAGAGAAACCAAACTTAATAAGCACATGAGGAATGGAATCCCTGGCTAGCAGATTAGTACAGTGGCTGGGAGCCAAAAGAAATAAATCATCTAGGTAGGTCATAATTTGGATCTCCTAGTGCTGAAGCTTGCACCATGTTTCATCAAAGGTGGCAAGTGGTGAGTTCTCCTTGAAACCCCCTGACAGTCCCTAAACTGCATATGGATCCCTAAACATCCTGCAGTTCCAGGAAAATAATCTCAGACTGGCATGATATCACCAGGTGAGCCAAGGGCATGGTGGTCACCTTGTAGAGATCCCTATCATGACAGGGAGGAAATGTTACCAGTTGCTTAGATGTACCTCTTCTGTCCACCGGAGAAATGAGCCACTTCCTAATAAAGCAACCACGTGGGCTAGCTCAGAGTGTGTGTGTGTGTGCACACTGACAACCTCCATACAATAGATGGAACCCAGCCTCCAAATGTACCTCCACCTTCTTGCCACCAGTCATGCATGCCTTCAGTCACATTAACATGTTCATGTTAAAGGCTGGTGTGCCAAAACAGTGCCATGCTCCCATAAATATGATTACTTGAAGTTTCACACTGCTTTTTTCTAATGAATTATGAAAGCTATCTTAAACTAGCTGGAAGTAGCAACAGCTTCAAGAAAAGAACTTGATAGTCTCACTTTGTTGTTCCTTAACAATAAAGGTGGTAAGATAAATTCTTTAATTATTATGAAAAGTAAATGAAAGACGAAAATGCATTAATACCTGGCTGAAGTTTTCTGGAGTGTGTCAGTTGACTCCAGGGCTGGTAAGTCTACCTCTTGAGAAGGTCTTGCAGCTTCTGACAGTGATCCTTCAGAGTTGGATCTGCAAACAAAAGTATTAATAACATTAAAATTTTCCAAAATATTGTACAATATCATTAGATTATCCACAGGAATTGTCAGTAATGAACTGATTACTCATATCCTTATGTAGAAATGAGAAATCATTTCTACTATATAGAAATAGTGTAGAAATTAAGAAATTATTTCTACATAAGCATACCCACATAGGAAGTGTTACATAAGGATTTCTACACAAGGAGAACCAAACAAACCAGTGTTAAATGTAATGCAACGGCATTTTCTCGGTGAGCCCTGGAGGCTTCCTGGAGGCTCCCTGGAGCTTATCGGGCTAATGTACTTTATATTAGACTGGGACATTAGCTATGGAGTTTAGACCTACCAGGGACCAGAGCCGGAACTTGGCCCCCTTCCGAGAGGTTTCAGGGAGCAATGGCCCTGTAAGACCCCCTTGTGAGTGGGGTTTTTTCTTATCTGCCATCGACTGGGGTTAGGCACCCAGAAAGGTAGGCATAACAAAACAAACCCCACATGGTAAGAAATTAAAACAAAAAAACAAACATAGAGGTAGAAACTCCCTACAATCCCAAGAAAACAAGCAAACATCACACTTTACTGCCGCGCTGCTTGTCCGCACAGACCTCCCCTCCCCTCTCGGGGAGGGGGGGCCCCTCGGACCTCACCGCACTGGCTGCCTAGCACTCCAGTTCGGAAGCCAAGTTTCAAACAACGCGAAAAAAATGCCGACCAGTAGGAGAGAGGGTTGCCCGGGAGCTTCCGAGGCTCACCCCGAAAAAGGTTATTCATTTCATTCAATGCTGGTTTTCTGTGGGAAGCCCCTACAGCTCCCTGGAGCTAAATACCCAAAGAGAAAGAAAATAGGGACTTACCCAGGAGGCAGCTGCCACAAATTCCTCAACACGAAGTCGAGACAACTGGCTGCAACCTATGACCCAAAGCAACACAAGAATGCCCAGGAGCAGGCGCGTTCACCAAATAACGGACGGCCAGGACCCTGTTCGATCTCCAAAATCCCCGCACCTCAATATGAGCCCAAGACATATTACCAAACATGGCAGCCAAAGTTGCAAATTTCCGAACGTCATGGGCGCGAGGATAGACTGCAGGCTGACAAGACTTAATAACCCTGCGGACAACCTGGGAGACCCGAGCCCTGGAACAGGAAACGAGGGAAACTGGATCAACCCAAAGCGCATCCCCAGCTACCCCACCCGTGGCATGCAGGTAACAGCAAAGAGCCGCAACCGGACACAACGCATGATGCACTCGCGGCCGAACCAACCAAGCATCAATGACCCAAGGATCCCTCCGGAAAGCAGTCATCTCATTCTTCGCCAGAAAAGATGGAGAAGACTGCAAACATACAAACCAACTCCCAGGATCAAAAGAGCAGAAACCCCTGCACCGGAGGAGAATATGAAGCTCCCCTACCCGACCCCCAGAGGCCTAAGTCAACAAAAACAGGGCCTTGGTCCTTCTGGGCAGGACCACCACAGCCCACCCAGAGAACCAACAAGTCCAAAATAGGCCAGCAACTAGACATAGGCGCCTGCAGAAAATGCACTACCGCACACACTGCAAACAGCAATGGACAAAAGGGCGACAAAAATCTAAGAGCCAAGGCCCAAGCAGATTCCAAAGAGTGGACGAGCATTGTCTGTCGTCATGCGAGACGAGAAGCAAACAACAGAGACACCGTTCCTTCAGAATCGGCGCATACAACTTCAACAGTGCAGCCGACGCCCGAGCTGCCGAGACAAGCGCACCGGACACCAGCCCGGAACCTAGCTCTTCCACGTCCTCTGCGAGCCAGTTCGAAGATAGCTCCAGCAGGGAAAAGAATAGCAAATCTGAAGCCAAATGCCCCGGTCAATGACTGTCACAAACATAACAGCCTCTTGAACTGAGCTTTCTGGGTACCTGACCTGGTAGATGACAGACATAAACTGCTTCCAATTACATGGGGGGTGACAATAAGCCATTGCTCCTCGTGCCTCTCTTGAGGGGCCCAGGTTCTGGTGCTGGTCCCAGGTAGGCCTAGAACTCCATTGATTGACTGTTGGCACGGTCTAACATATGCACATCAGTCCGATATGGCTCTGGGCAGCCGAAGGGGCTCTCCACAGAAACCCCTACAGAAATGGTTTCCCAAATGCACCAGGGAAGAGTACCCTAGCATGCAAGGGTAGTACTCACAGGGAACTTAGGGAAGGTTGCCCTAAGCGCATGCATCCCCGATACACTTCAGGTACACCTGGCCACCACACCACAAAAAGCAGAAGGCACCACTAAGGAAAACACTGCAGAGAAATTGAAGCCAGCAATGACGACCACCATGGATTGCATTAGCTGATGAACTGGAATGGCTAGGGTGCCGGGGCTCTCCCCTCCCCCTCCAGGGATGAGGGGGGGGGGGCTGCGAGGATGAGCGATTCAATGAGGTAGTGAAATGTTTGCTCGTTTCCTTGGGATTGGAGGGAGTTCTGCTTCTGTTCGGTTTTCGGTTGCAATTTTCTTACCATGTGGGTTTTTTTTTTTATGCCTACAGTAGCTATCTGAGTGCATAACCCCAGTTGATGGCAGATAAGGAAAACCCATAACCACAGGGGTTTTCCAGGGCCATTGTTCCCTGTGCCTCTCTGAGGGGTCTAGGTTCTGGCCCGTGGTCCCCAGTAGGCTAAACTCCTATGACTAATGCCCTGGTCTATTGAATTACATATCAGCCCGATAGCTCTAGGGAGCTGAAGGAGCTCCTCTCAGAAAACCAGCGTTGAATGAAATGAAACGCCATTTTCTGGGTGAGCCCCAGAGGCTCCATGAAACTATCCAAACTGACTTCTTTTTTTTTTTTTTGAGATATATACAGTACAAGAGTTGTTACATTCTTGAACTGCCACTAGTATGCATAGCGTTTCGGGCAGGTCCCTGGAATACAATTCCCGCCGCGAAGAATCGTTGTTACAACCAAGTACACATTTTACTGTTGCGTTAAACATAGGCTACAGTTAAGGAATTGCACCCAGGATGGGCGGATAAGGATGAACCCTGAACATATCTGTTGTGCCTCACCATGAACCCTGAACATACCTGTTGTGCCTCACCATGAACCCTGAACATACCTGTTGTGCCTCACCATGAACCCTGAACATACCTGTTGTGCCTCACCATTAACCCTGAACATACCTGTTGTGCCTCACCATGAACCCTGAACATACCTGTTGTGCCTCACCATGAACCCTGAACATACCTGTTGTGCCTCACCATGAACCCTGAACATACCTGTTGTGCCTCACCATGAACCCTGAACATACCTGTTGTGCCTCACCGTGAACCCTGAACATACCTGTTGTGCCTCACCATGAACTCTGAACATACCTGTTGTGCCTCACCATGAACCCTGAACATACCTGTTGTGCCTCACCATGAACCCTGAACATACCTGTTGTGCCTCACCATGAACCCTGAACATACCTGTTGTGCCTCACCGTGCATGTGTCCCAACCTTCCAAGCTCAGACAATGGATGGTGTTGTATGGTGATCCTCCTGTCTGAAATACAAAATGCAAATTAATCTCGGTTGAAGATAATCTTGTGAATAAGTACCTCACCATGAATAAAATGTTAATTCATTTACCAGAATAGAAAACTTACTTATTATAACTGAGAAAACTAAAGACAAAATCATAAAATGAATACAATATTTACATGCTAGACTACATTGAGAAAATTAATACTAGTCATGAAATATGTTCACACTTAATACAGCATTATTAATGAACAGGAACAAACCTTGAACACTGGCTCAAACTGATGACCTTAAAGCAAGCAAGATTGAAGCAACATTATTGCATGATTTATTAAGAAATTTAAAGCAAATTTTGGAAAGAACACATCAGTGTAAACTTACACAAAAGTCTTCAGCCTCACTTTTTAATAAATAAAATTTATATATTAAAGAACTATGCTGACTAGCAAACATTTTGTTTCATATATATTTACAGTATTTAATATTTATTGTCTTTTGTTTAATAACTCATTTTTGTAATCATCACTATTGTTTAAAAGCTGTCTCTGGCATGAACATAAGATAACTAATCAATCCAGTGTAAAATATAGTAGGATTAAACAGTTACTGATAATGTACAGTCTTGGACGTGACACGTTTGTGTCTACAGGGGCATGCCAGAAAATATCAACTATAACACCTCAACATATATATATGTAAGTTTCATATGCCTGAAACGTACAATTAGTAAACAAAATCCAACCATATTACAAACTTTATTTCTGAAATGTAGTAATTGCCCAGATACTTCTACATTACAGAGTAATCTACACCACTGGTTTAACCACTCACAAATACAAGTCATCTAATGTCAATATATATTATGCCAATTAGTCTATGTAAGCCATTTTTAATGTGAGCAGAAGAATGCAGCACAAATTAGCCTCAGGCTTGTGGGTGACAAGCAGAGCACAATGAGAAACATATTTTTATAGTACAGATCACACCAAATAACACAACCAGAACAAAATTAACACACGCCTCTTATATACGAAAAAAAAAAGTCACCACATAGCAGGGTTTTTTTGTTCATGCTACAGAAAGACATGTTATAACATTAACTCTAAGCAAAACGTTCTAAACCAAATTCAAGATTCATTTGTTAGAATGAAAACTTTAGACTTTTTATTAATATATCTTTATTTAAGGTTTAATTTAAGCATGATTCCTCATACATAGGCCATTTAAAATTGTTATACTAACAAATATAATTTTCTATAAATTATGTAAATTAAATCACAGGGTCATAATCAGTCGGTTTTAAAGACAAAATAGTTACATTATCTTTACTATAAATTACCCCAAACCCTTAAAGAAATACATCTAGATACTGTACTAAAAATAAAGCACCAAATACTGTACAGGACAATTCCAAAGAGTAATATATAATAGACTATGATACTCAGTTTAAAGAAGAATTCCATGAATAAAATACTCCAGTACAAGGTACACAAGATACAGCAGTGACTTTGACCTTCACAGAAATATTGAAGCTACTTAATTTATTAGATTAAACACACGATCTAGAGTACAACTCCACTTAAACTTTACCTAACTAGGTTAAAAGTGCTTTAAAGTTCTTATAGATCTGCTTACAATTATCAATATCTGATACATGTATTCAGCTACAGCAGTTAAAAACCCAGCATTGAATGTAATGAAATGCCAATTTCTAGAGGAGCCCAGTGGCTCCCTGAAGCTATCTCCTGAGATTGCTTCATACTAAAAGGTCACATCAACTGCGGTTAGTTTTGATTGGCTTCCGGGGACCAGAGCTAGAGCCAGAACACAGGCACAGAGAGCAGGTGACAATCTGCCACCTCACAAGAAAAAGCATCCAGAAAGTCAGTGCAGCTTTACAGACAACTAGAGGCTTCACCAAAAATGAAGTCTCAAAAAGCTGCCAAGCAACTACTGAAAACAAGTCACACAAGGGATTCACCCAAACGAGCTTGAAACTCATTAGTACCGATTACCACCACCAGGCAGCCTGGCTCCAGCTTTTAGTCGACTCCCGAAATCAATTCTCAACCTGAAGAACAAACTCATGATCAACCAATGAACCTGGAACATGGGAGAGAGGGCAGGGAGCCACAGGCATTTCATTATATTCACTGCTGGGTTTCTAGAGGAAACCCCTTGTGGCTTCCTGAAGCTAATCTAACCACAGAGAACAAGAAAGGAAGGAGGAGAGGTGGCAGGCACTAACGACGAAGAAGAGAAACCAGGCCAGGTGACACATCCCAAAGCCACACACAACTGATTTGGCCCCAGAACAATAACCATATACTGGGCCATTCTGTTAGAATGCCAAAGCCCCCAAGCCCGAATATCAGCCCATGACATATTAGAGAAGACAGTGGCATATTTACGATCATGGGCCAGACGGGAGATCTTAGGCTGGTTAGACTTTATGATATTGCAGACAACCTGGGAAATGTGAGACTTGGAACAAGAAACCAAGGAAACAAGATCAACCAACAAGGCATCCACCAACACACAACCAGTGGCATGCAGGTAGCGGCAAAGAGCCACCACAAGACACAACAAATGATGCACGCCCAGCTGAACCAACTAAGCATCGATCACCTAAGAATGCCTCTGAAAGCCCACCGACTCATTCTTCACCAGAAAAGAAGAAAGAAAGCAGCTGCAAACTAACAAACTGGCTTCCAGGGCCACATAACCCGCCACTTCTAGAGAAGAGCTTGAAGCACCCAAACTCAACAGCCAACAGGACAACAAGTTGAAGGAAAGCCAAAAGATGGTCAAGAGACCATGCTGGCTCAGGAAGAGCATGTGCAGTGTAAGGGGAGGTACGAGCCTCTAAGCCGTACCCTAGACTACAAACTATCAAAACCTGTCCTTTACTTCTTTACTTTTACATATGTATGTTTTTTTTAAATCAGAGATACAGAACTAATGTTTATTATAAAGAAATACCTTAAACATGACAGTAAATACTTGAGTACACACCATACTATATTTTGAAGTGATGGACTTAAACAAACGATAACGGTGTGTGCATTACATTTATTAATAGATACAGGAAATGGGGCAATACACTAAGAATATTTTCACTCACTAGATTGACTAATGTTTTCCAGTCATTCAGAAAACCAGGGCAAATGTGAACCGCATGGAAAACCAAACCCTGAAAAGCCAGAAGCCAACCCACACGAAGCATCCAGCTCCACAGAGTAATGGACTAAAAGACCCTCTTCCTTGATTGACTAATGTTTTCCAGTCATTCAGAAAACCAGGGCAAATGTGAACTGCATGGAAAACCAAACCCTGAAAAGCCAGAAGCCAACCCACACGAAGCATCCAGCTCCACAGAGTAACGGACTAAAAGACCCTCTTCCTTGATTGACTAATGTTTTCCAGTCATTCAGAAAACCAGGGCAAATGTGAACCGCATGGAAAACCAAACCCTGAAAAGCCAGAAGCCAACCCACACGAAGCATCCAGCTCCACAGAGTAACGGACTAAAAGACCCTCTTCCTTGATTCAGGCAATGAACCACCAGGAAGCAATCGGAGTGGAGCCAGAGTGCCGAGCCCTGAGAAAGTCAAATCCTACTCAAGGCATGCCATACAGCTGCAATCTTGTGCACTGAACTCACCTAGTGTGTTGTACGCCCGAAGAAACGGACCTGACCACCGACTCTGGGTGGCCTGATGAGTGCTGGTCACAAAACCCCAACCCAGAGACAAGGAATGCATAAACACAATAAACAGCAGAAAAGGATGGTGCATGAAAGCTTGAAAAGGAAGTCAGCAAAGCAAAAGCCGTCGAAGAATGGGAGGGGGTTTGAACTCACTGGTCTTGGGTGCAGCAGAAGAGGTGGAACCAGAACAATGCCCAGAGCCAAACCCAGTCCAGGATTTTGGCTCTGGGCACTGACAGACAGAGAAAGTTCAGGCTCCCGTACAACTGCTCAACAAGATGGCGATGAAGCTGCAGGTGGAGCAAGGCCACCAGAGGCAAGGAAAGAGACACTGACTGAGAGTCCCAAATAAGACCAAGCCAAGTCTAACTGAGATGGCACCAATTAGGATTTCTGCCATTTCACCAGGAACCTGAACCTATTCAGCAGGGAAAGAACTAGATCCCTAGCCAGATGACCCTCAGACCAACTTCCATACCAGCTTTCATTGAGGTAGGCCAACACATGAACCTCTAATAATTGCAGCTGAGCCACAATGACCTGCACTAGCCTGGTAAACACGTGGGGGGCCAGGTTTAGACTGAAGAGAAGAACCCTGAAGTGGTAAGCACAATGCCCCACAACAAAACTTATCCAGTCCCTGAAACCCAGTTGAATAGAAACATGCCAGTATGCATCCTTGAGGCTCAGGGACACCATCCAAACCCTTGTCTGCTATACAAACCTGGGCCTAAATGGTCATCTGGAAGGCTTAAGGACTGCTCAGGTGGGCTGACCTCACAGAGGTGAACCCAGAACACCGCAGAGAAAGTAGCTCTGGTTGTGCAAGGGCAGCATTAGCAGCTACACAGGGAAGAAAACCCTGAGTATAAGCAGCCTGAAATGCACAAAGAGCAAAACCCACCAAGATGCCAGAATTAAAACATGCACATGAAACAACATTAAAATTGAAAACAATACAGCAAAGCAAATGGCCTCATTAGGATAAGCATGTCCAAGGAAGGCCAGGACTTAGCTTGAAGCTTTTGGGCTCGGCCAGGAGCTGGAATGACTAGAATTACTACAAGTTGTTATGGTGACACCAACATCAGGAACAGAATTGACTTGGGGAGCCAGACTGCCTAGGGGTAGTAATTGGTATTAATTAGTTTTTAGCTCATTTGAGTGTATCCCATTTTTCATGTGACTAATTTGCAGTAGCTGTTTGGCAGTTTATCGCGGCTTCATTTTCTGTGAACCCTCCAATTGTCTGAAAAACTGTGCTGACTTTCCGGATGCTTTTTCTGGCGAGATGGCGGATTGTCACCTGCTGT